CTGCAACAATGCGGGTGCTATTCCTCCTGCTCCCCTGGAACGAGAGGATAGGGGACCACATCTTCAGAACAGTCTCCCCAGGACCTAACACAGTGGTGGGCACGTAATAGGAGCACAATAATGTTTGTTGAGTGAATGAATAACCCCCCTACCTGCATAAATTTCAATATAGTAGCTCAGGAAGGCCAGGGGTCAGCAAATTAATGAGGTCCGAAGGCCTTTCTGAGATGATTCCAGCTCCCAGAAGCAGCCAACAGCAGCCAGAAGCGGGCAATAGAGGCCTCCCTGGGGTGGGGGTAGGGGTAGTGGTTCCTCATTCCCCCTGTCTAATTCCTCTCCTCTGCAAAATATATTCTCAAGGACAGCAACAAACACGTTCCGAGAAGCCGTGGGTCAGGAGAGAGGCAGAAATAAAGTGGATCAAACGCTCGCAACTCCAGAGAAGAAAGGTACAACGCACCAGAATGCTATTTCTCCTGACAGCAGATGAGAGAAACTGTCAATTTTCAGCTATCTGGGTCAGCTGGGAGGGGTTGTGCATCATGCAAAAACTATTCAAAAACAAACCCCCCTTGCTGGCATTTGTAAAACAGCTAGAGGTGTGGATGGTCCCCCATGTGCCCAGCCTCCTTCTCAGGCCACTCCTCTATGAGTTTGACCCTTCAGAAGGGGGATGCAACCCACAGATAAGCCACTGGCATCTAAGTAAAGGGTATTTTTTAGGACAGCTGAACAGAAAATTCCAACCCGCCCAATGCACGCTCCCTGTGCAGATGGGAAAACAGGACTGTCAGTGGCTGACTCAGCTTTGAGGCATCCTAATGAGGGAAGGCCAGGAGAAGAAAAGTTGACCAACTGGGGAAACACACAGTATGGGGGGGCTAAGGGTGGGGGGTAAGGATATATACTGCAGGATTCCAAGTGGGTGAGTGTGTTGCTATTTACTGCTGCTATTTACTTCGGCTTCCCAGAACACCGAGAAAGACACACAAAACGCCCAGCAACCAGGCACAGGGGGATGAGGCTGCTGTAACCTCTAATTTGAAGCTCAGAGATGAGCTTCCCACCCAAGGCTGACTTCTGGGGCCTCTGCCTTCAATTTTTTTTTTCTTGCAGATTTGCATCACAACCATTTATTTGCATCTCAACTGTCACAGGGTGAAAATGCGTTGTTGTCGGTTTCAGCCCACCCCTTCCTTTCCTTCCCTGGTTTCTGTGGGTTTTCTATAGCCAGGCAAAGGAGAAGAAATTGCTCTGTGAGACTTGACAATGTGGACAGAGATAGAAAGGGCCTCTTTCAAGCACCTCTGTTGTTGTGAATGGTTGGGCAGAGCCTGAGATGCAGTGAGAGTCGGAGCAGGACTTTAGATGTGGCGGGGACAGTGAATTAGATTAGCATCCTTATTAGGAAGGACTGCCCTGAAGTTCCCACTGAGGGCCTAAGCTGCCCTTTCTGTCAGCACCCTCTACTGCTCATTGTGGACTTTCCAGGTCATCCTTCCTACACAAACTCAGCTTGGGAAAAGCCCTGGGCCATCACATTGCCACTTTATCATTTAACTGTGCGTTCTCTTGACCAAGGCTTACTTCCAGAGTGCCTCCCAATGCCAGGAAGAGTGGGAGGCACTGGTTACACTGGTGAGTGACGGGTCACTTGGTGTGATTAGGAGATAGGTATGAATGAGCTTGCTACACTGATCACTGGCGAACCACAGTCATGGGGAGGGGAGGCAGTTCCATGGATGGAAGAGCCTATGACAAAGGACTCTGACCTCTGTTCATGCTCCTTCCTTCCTCAATATTTGCTCCATGAACACATTTTTCTGCCACAGTGAGCAAATCCTCAGTCACCTTCAACCCAGACACAAGCCCCAACAGACGCATTCTCCCCTCTGAGAGAGAACTGCAAGAAACAACAAGTTTCTAAAAATCTCTTTTGCAAAACTTGTCTGACTTCTCTTTGTGGTTCCCTGACTTCAGGACACTCCGGCAGTCTACAAGTGCTGGTGACTTCTGTCTCCTGTTCCTGGCAGCGAGATGGCTGAAGGCTCCATGCTGGGGACCTGGCCTGACTCTCAGTCACAGTACCCAAGCCCAGCCCTTGGGAGTCCCTGGCCAGTTCTGAATCCCTGCAGAGAGGAATGGGAGAAACACAAGGGCTGGAGCGGAAAGCAACTTCTTCCTCTGACTTTGGAAGGAGCCTGGGACCACATGTGAGGGGGTTGGAGCCGTCCCCTCAGAGGCTGGAGGATGGCCAGAGGACCCTAGTCCAGGTAGCTGGGGTTTCCGGCTACCTCTCCTCCTGTTAGTGCTCTCTGCATGTCACCGTGCCCTGGGGGAGTGGGCCCCTGTCAGAGCTGGGAAGCAGTGAGGCAGAGCAGGGAATGGGCCTGGGGGGTGTCAGGCATCCTGACCACAGCAGGTATGCTGATGGCAGTGCCTGGGTGGGGACTCTTCATTCAAAGTAGGCTGGACCCAGACACCCTCAGTGTTCCTGCAGATGCTTCTGACAGGGCTTATAGCAAAAGGAACGGGGGATAAAACTAAGGGAGTCAGGGTGACCTTGATATCCCCCAAGAAGTCACAGAGAGCAGCCCTGGGGGCTCAGACTTTACTGTTGACAATGCTCACTGGGCCCAGCCCTGGTCAGTGAGGAAACCCTCAATGCTTAATGGTTTGTGTGGCAGGCCCCAGGTGGAGCCCTGTACAGCTCCTGTCCCCTCCTCCTCCTATGTCCCCTCTAGGGCAGGGGAAAAACTTAGCTGCCTCCCCACATTTCCCAGCCTTCTACAGTGAGGTGGGGGCATGGAACTAATTCTGACCAATGGGCCGGTGGCCAGAAGTCACAGGGCCACTTCTGGGATGCAGCACGGGGGAGCTGGTGCCTAATGCTCTAGCTATCCCTCCCCACTGCAGCGACCACGAGGGCAGTGTCCTTACACCCATGCTGGACAAACTATGCGTGAAGAAAGACTTTTACTTTGGGGTTAATGTGTCACAGCAACATAAACAGGCACAATCTCTTTCTTTTCCTTTTCTGCGTTTAAACAGATAAGCATAGCAAATTCATTGGGTGTCCCAGAACTAGTAAATGGGAAGATTGGACTTAAACACAGGCCCTGTCTGATTCTGGAGCTTGTGCTGCCACACACAGGATGCCTCTCTCTGGGTTGCCGCCAAGATAAAGTCCCAATTCCTTGGCTTGGCATTTGAGGCCCTCCAGGGCCTGTGGCCCAGCCAACCTCCCCACTACACAAAGCAGCATTGTGCTCGTGGGTTACTGTCTGTTCCCTGGATCTACTTGCAGGGGCCTCTCTGTGGACCACTGCCCAGCCTGGCCAGCCAGTCTTCCTATGTGCCCCAACACCCAGGCCAAGACCCCTCTTGCCATAGAGCCTTTCCCGATCTCCCCAACCCCCGCTGCTCATTCTCCAGCAGAACTCCCACTGCCTGTGGCCATGGACCTTGAGCTCCACACTGGTGTCTGTGTTGCTCCTCTCTGGAACATTGTTCTTTGCCTGAAACCAAGGATGGGACACTCTTCTGATGCTCTCATTCATATAGTAACCTCTAAAAGGGGGTGCTTGCACTCCAGGGGATACAAGGTGACCCCTGATTTTTGAGAAAATATTACAATGTGTTTTTATAACGGTTCTTCTTCCCTTTAAAAAATTACTACTTCTTTTGTATATGTTTAAAATGCACATATTCATATAAGCACACTTCTTTCCTTGGGAAGGACCATGGTTTACACTCCCTGTAAACCGCAGGTGATAAGACATTTTTAGTTATCTCAGGCAGACAGGTATGGAGTGACTTAGCAGGCGACAGAGGCACAGGTGCACACACGTGTGCACACACACATACCCGCAGCAGGACTGCCTTGCCCATGTGGCCCTGCATCCTTGGGGTGACTGTGTCCACTTGAGAGAATGTGACAGGAGGAGGGCAAAAGATGTGGGAGGCAGGCACAAGGGTAGGCATGGCACTTTGTCTACTGAGCAGCCAGGGAGGAGAGGGGCACCTAGGAGGAAGGGAGAAGAAAGCCCGGCCGGGAGCAAGGCCTGCACGGGAGCCCCTCTCCAGGAGTAATTGAAGCGAAGCACCTTGGGCTAGAAAACCTAATAGAATTCCAGAGCAGTGTGTGCGACGGGAACAGTAATAAACAGAAGTCCTATTAACATGGTGGCTGCTGCTGGGCAGGGACAGGGGCACGAGGGTATAAGGAGGAGGCAGGCAGGGAGGGTCCTGAAGGGATGGAGACCTGTCCCCACACAGGCCTGGCCCTCTTCCTGTCTGATGATGCAGAGGTTGGCAGGGCTGCTGGGATGGGCTGCCCCAGAGCCCCCTCCCTCCCCATCCTCCCCAGCTCCCCTCACTTCCTTTTACAACTGGGCTCAGCCAGGGCAGATCCTCTTGGGCAAGGTGATGCAAGTGTCTTCTTCATATGGCCTGGGGTCCCCTCAAAAACATTTAGGTCCTGGGTGAACTCCTTGCATGGAAAAGGGGGGTCATTATTGCACCAAAAACAGGACTTGGGCTTTCTGCCAAGGCTGCCATTTATACAGGAGCACAACTGGGGCACTTGCATCCCAGAGTGATGATCCACACGGTGTGAGAAAATGTACTGACAGCTTATTTTGACCTTTTAAAACTGCTGTTTTTGTGTACGCTTTAGGACATACACTGATCTACACCTACTAGATCAGTGTTATGATCATGTATATAACTTCTAAATAATAAATACCTACATGTTGGAGGTGTGTGCTCACATGTTTTTCCCAGGGTAGGGGAGACTACAGATTTTGTAGACTTATCTACAAAAGTAGAGACTACAGATTTTGTAGACTTATCCTCAGAACCTAGGAGGGGCAGTGGCAACATTGCTTTCTATTTTATAGCTGGGGACCTGGTGCCCAGAGACACTTGGCATCCCTCCCAGGGTTGCACAGCGGAGGCAGGGCTGTCAGTTGGGTTGGGGCCTGTGTCTGGGGACTCACCTCATCCTTGTCCACCACCTGGATGAAGAGGGGAAGGGCAAAGCCGACCTGTGCCAGCTCAGTGATGGCCACACTGTACTCAGAGCTGTTGAACTCTGGCGCGTTGTCATTGATGTCAATAACCAGGATATTGAAGGTCGTAGTGACTGTGGCATCAGATGGGGTGCGGTCATCATTCAGCTCTGTGCCCTGCAGACAAATGACAGTCACCCCAGGGGTAAAGGCAGCCCTAATCACAGTGACAGCCATTGTTTACCAAGGACTTTCCCAGGGCTAGGCACTGGGCTTTAATGTGAATTAGCCCATTTCCTCTTCATCACAACCCCAGAAGGAAGATTCTATCACCCATCTTAGGGATAAAGAAACTGAGGTTCAGAGAGGTTAAATAACTTGTATAAGGACACACAGCCAGAATGGGTTTCAAACTCAGGCAGTAGGATCCTAGAACAGACAGGAGATGGATGAAATAGGGGTGATGAGGAAAAACAGATCTGCGGGTTCATGAAGAGGCAAAGGGAGAGTCTTCACCCAAGTTAGCAGGTGACAGAACATGCCAAGAATTTCTGTGCTAGTGGTTAGTCAAGACATAACTGCGCATCTTCTATGGACTGAACACTGTACTTGGCACTGGGAAGGTCTGGGTCGAACTCAGAAACAGATGGACTGATTCAGATATCTGGCTGCTCAACGTCTGGATCAGAGCCCCAGCTCCCCAAATTATCATTCCAAGTCTTGATCCCCAACCTTCTAAACCAGAATTTCTGGGCAAGAGACACAGGAATAGGTATCTTTCACTAGCTTCCCAGGGTATATTGGGTCACAGCCAAGTTTGGGAACCCTCTGTGACATTTTGTATAAAGATGGAAAACCTGAGCTGGAGCCCTACAGTGAGTGTGTGGGTGGGTAGGTGGTTCTGAGAACAGCAGGTGTTCTCTCCCAGTGGACTGACCACCTCACCTGGGCAGGAGGGCAGCAGAGACAGAAGTGGAGGGCTGGGCAGGGGAAGGTGCTGTCAACACACTCTCTCGTGGCTCTCCCAATTCTGAACTTCAGGTGAGATGAAGCAGCTAGCAAATTCAGTGCAGCTGCAGGTCCTCTCAAGGTCAAGGAGAGCAACCAAGAGCCAATTGGGTAGTGCATCCTCCCCATGCCCACAGAAGGGGGTCCTACCCAGAGTCCCTCACCTCAGTCTTTGGGCCACTCCTTCTGTCAGTCAATGTCTGGGGCTGGGGAGGCAGGATCCACGTCCCTAAATGGGTTTTCCCAGGGAATGGCTCGGCAAGTCATTGATTTTAATGCAAACCAACTATAAGTAGCAGGTGGTTGCTGGGGCTGGAGAGCTATGGCTTCACCACACCTTCCAGGGTGGGGACTCCAGCAGCTTCTACCCTCTCCCTGCTGCATTGCTGTTTCTTAACTCAGGGATGCCACGAAACTTGGAAATAAGACAAAAGCTGAGAAATTGGGCAACTCAAGAATTCTATGTGGCTGCATCAGAGAACTTGGAAGCATGGGACGACAGTTAGGACCACAGGATGAGCACCTGCTACGTGCCTCCTCATCCCTGAGATGGGAATAAAAGTCCCAGTCCTATGCTGTGTTGATAATGAATGTGGCTTACATTTGATAACACACTTGTTCCCTTTTCAACCCTGGGCAGGAGCCCTGGGAGTCAGTGCAGGGTGATGGAGCAGAAGTGATGGCCTTCTGTCTACCTGGGGCAGAGCCTTCAGAGCTGCTGGGGCCTGTCATCACAGCAAAGGCATCCCCTCCATCTGGGGTGCAGGGGCCTACTCCCCTGCTCTCACCTTCACGGTCAAGATGAAGCCATGGCTATACAGGGGGTTCTCCCGGTCCAGCAGGCCATTCAAGGTCAATGCCCCACTGATGTAGTCCAGGGCAAAGATGCTGTTGGTATTCCCTGCAAGAGAAAGCATTCCAGGTGAGACTGGGCCCAGGGCAGGTGTGTAGGACGCCAGGGTTCCTGTTTGGGTGTGTAGGACTAATCAGTAACTTGAAATGGACAGTAGTTAAGGAGCAATGGAGAGGGCACTGGAGTCCACAGGCATCCGTAGTCCAGGCAGTGAGCAGATAGCAACGAATCACAGAATGACAACATCAGACTCCCTCTCCGACTGAGCCAGGAAGGAAGTCTTGATTTGGGGCTAGAGCGTCTTTAACACCTCTCTAACATTTGCTCACTTCCCTGCCCAACAAAGTGAGAACAGGCTGCAGGCTCCAAGCCTCTCAAATGGAGGGGTATCCAGCTGGGACACAGTGACCTTGTTTGGTTTCCTCTGTGCTTATTTTTATGGTCATGTTGTATTCTATATTATTCTATTCTAATTTTCCAATTATGGCAGTGATACAAAGTTTCCTTTTATGATAAATAAGTTAAAAACATAATGCAGTTTTTAAAACTAAGTGCTTGTGTTAGGGCTTTGTTTTTTATTATCTATCTATCTATCTATCTATCTATATGACTCTGTTACTCCGGGTAGAGTGCTGTAGCATCACAGCTCACAGCAACCTCAAACTCTTGAGTTTGAGCAAACCTCTCAAGCCTCCCAAGTAGCTGGGACTACAGGTGCCCACCATAATGGTTGGCTAGTTTTTCCATTTTTAGTAGAGATGGGGTCTTGCTCTTGCTAAGGCTGGTCTCCAACTCCTGAGCTCAAGAAATCCACCTTCAGCCACCCAGAGTGTTAGGATTACAAGCATGAGCCCTATGGTAAGTGTATATTATTTATTTATTTATTTATTTATTTATTTGAGATAGAGTCTCAGTCTGTCACCCTGGGTAGGGTACCGTGGTGTCATAGTTCACAGGAACCTCTAACTCCTGGGTTCAAGAGATCCTCTTGCCTTAGCCACCTGAGTAGCTGGAACTACAGGTACCCACCACAATGCCCAGTTAGTTTTACTGTTTTGTTTTTTTTTTTGAGACAGAGTCTTACTATGTCACCCTCTGTAAAGTGCTGTGACATTACAGCTCACAGCAACCTCCAATTCTTGGGCTTAAGCAATTCTCTTGCCTCAGCCTCCCAAGTAGCTAGGACTACAGGCACCCACCACAAAGCCTGGATATTTTTTGGTTGCAGTTGTCATTGTTGTTTATGTGGCCTGGGTGGGGTACAAACCTACTAACTTCAGTGCGTGTGGCTGGCGCTGTAACCACTATGCTATAGGCAGGGAGCCCTAGTTTTGTTTTGTTTTTTCTGTAGAGATGGGATCTTGCTCTTGCTCAGGCTGGAAGTGCTTTAAGAAATCTAAGATACATATGTACAAAGATCTGTACAAATACGTACTGACAAAAACCACACACAGATGCCAGCTGCCTTAAACCAAAGCCTCCATTACCCACCCCCTCTCCCCTCCACAGGCACCCAGTGCCCTCACACTGGCTTTCATAGGTTCCCCAAATCACCATTCTCATTCCAGCCTCCTCCTCTTTCCTCTCTTGTCCTCCCAGCCCCCCAGCCCAGTGCCAGACTCTCCTCTTCCAGGAAGGCTGCCCTGGATTCTCCAGCTGACCCCTTCTGGTCCCCACAGCTAGTAGCCACTGTTCTGTAACTGAATGTTCTCTGGCTGCTTCCTGTATGTTACTTTGATCTTCCTGACCTTCTGTGAAGATGGGGGCCCTTCATGGCTGGTCCCAAGTTACCTGGTCAGTGTGGGCACATGGTGGCAGACATGTTCCCCACCTGAACCAGCCCTGCATGGGCTCCCACCATTGCCCTTCCCACCAGGCTGAGAATCCACCCAGAATCCCAATCCTCTCTGGTCTTTTCCTCACCAGCCAGTTTGCTGGTTCATTCTCTCCCTCCCATTCATTCACATATCCAGCAATCCCCAGGGCAGGCTGTCCTACAGCAAGGCCCTGAGCTTGGCATTGTGGGGCAGGCATATATCCGTCTGCTGGGCATGCTGATGCTGGCGCACTTGCAGCCTGGTTAAGGGAACTCTGGCATCTCCAAGATTCAGTTCACAGCAGGTATAGGCTTTTACAGATGGGAAAGCAAAAGAAGGAAATCTTCACGGAGGAGGAGGCGTTACCTCTTCAGAGCATGTACTAGCTGTATGACCTTGGGCAACTTACCTAACCTCTCTGTGCGTTGGTTTCCTCACCTTCAAAACGGGGATAACTGTGGCATCTACTTTCTAGGGTTATGAGGACTACATGAGTGTGACAGTGTGTGCAAATTGCTTTGGAGCAGTTCCCTGGTAAGTGTTGCTGCTGTTATTGTTCCAGCTGGATCCCGGAGTACAGGCAGGATGGGGGAAGAGGAGGGTCACTGATTACAATGTTAGAGAATTAATACCTGAGCACATAGCAGTGAACCCCAGGAGGGCTCCTCCCCATAGGGTCTAAAGGGATCTGCACATGTAGGGCTTGTATCACCTCTCTAATTAACGAGGGGAAAGGATAGGGGGAAACAGTTTCCTCTTCTAACTTTAGACTTTGGGACAGAGGCTGTTCTGAGTTACCTGCCTGTGCTTGTCAGCAATGCAGCCCACTTCTTCTTGGGCCAGCAGCTAGAGGCCTGCTCCCTCCTGACCTCCCGGCCGACCACAGGGTTTGGCCGAGGCCAGGAGAGGCTGCTGATGACGGCGGAGCCTGTTTAGGTTTCATGTCACTCTCAGAGCTTTGGGGTCTCTGACCCAGGACGGGATGCCACTCTAGCCTTCCTCCTGCCTGAGGCTTCCTCCAGTGGCCATCAGAGACCAAGGTCCCTTCCTGCTGGGTTCTATACGGCTGTGTCTATGTGCTGGGGAGGACAGAATTGCAAGGAGGCACAGAAATGCGTGAGTAGAGGGAGTTTCTTTGGTTAGAAAATTTGCTGCCAGGGAAGCAAAGGATGCATGCTTTCATCTGTTCGTTCATTCATTCATTCATTCATTCATGTAATAATTATTGTGCTGCTTCTAATGGGGACACATTCCATTGGGGGTACAGCCCTAGAGTACAGGGTGAACAGTACCAAGGTGGGTAGAGCACAGGCATCACAGGGCTCCGTGTGGGGCTGGGTCTTCTGAACCCCTAAGGCTGAGCTGAAGGGCCGCCCTGAGGCAGGACCACCGAGCCTCCTGCCTTCCACCCTTCCCCACTGCACTCAAAGGTATGCCCCCCTCCCCACTCCTCTCTCACCATCCTATCATTCCAGATTTTCATATAAATTTATTCTTTCCAATAAAGGAAGCTATCAAATGTTTAACTAAATGTGATTCAATTTTTATCTTTGTTAGAATTTCTTATAAATCATTCACAAACCAGAAGCCCCTTACTGAATGATGTGCTTTCATTTTTGGGTTGGAAAACAGGGTTTTTGGTTTGGAAAACCTTGGATCCCCAATTGTGTCTCCCCACTCAACACCTATGCCCCATTCATGGTCACCCTGCTGACTCCCAACCCCACATCTGTTCCCAGCACATAAAACACCTCTTGCCCTGATCTAGGAACCTTCTCCTACAAACCTGCAGGCAAATGCTGCCCAAATGGCACATTCGAACAAACCTGGGAGCCTCCCCCAACATACACACACACACACACATTCTTTTCACATATACATGCGTGTGGCATTCACCTTGTAGTCTCCTGCCAAGAACAAATGACTAACTCTTAGGACCGACAACCAGAAAGGGCTACACCTAGGATGCTGGCAAGGCCACCAAAGTGAGGCACTGACTCAGTAAGATGCTCTCACCGTCACCATGGCAACATTAGCACTTGCTGGGATGCTGCTGGGCTCGGGCAAGGGCAGGAGATGAGCCCTGAACCCTAAGCAGGAATGCTAAGGGCATGTCTTATTCAAAGATTCCTTTATTTGCTTTCACTCATTCCTTCAAGTTCATATTGAGTGCCTACTGCATGCAAGGTGCTGAAAAACTGGCAGAGAAAAGCAGGCAAGGTTCACACCTTCGTGTCACATGAGTGTCCATAAAGGTTGACATCCGTGCTACAAGCACACTATTAACCTGTAAGTACTTGCTAAGGCCCCTGAAACGTAACAAGAAACAGAGGTGGCTTAGATTATGCCCCGTGGAGGCAGATTGCATGGGTTCAAATCGTGTTTCTGCTACTTACTAGCTGTGAGACTTTATTTGCCATATGTGGGCCTCAGTTCCATAGTCTATAAAATGGGGGTAATAATATAATGGTACCCACTCAGGGTATTGCTGTGAGAACTAAAAGAGTTAATACAGTGCTGGGCACCTAGTATCACCCCTCCCAGCCAGGAGCCCATGTGTACAGCTGTTTGCCTAGCAGGGACACTGAGCCACCAGTGTGAGGCTCTTATCAGCATAGCTTCACAACAGTTTGTGTTTACCTGTTGGCTGACTTGGAGACCCAGAATGAAAACAGCCAGGACTCTAACCTCTGCTGTCTCCATCAATCACCCCTGGGGGGCACTGCTTCTCCACCTGGCTCCCCTCCCTACTCCCCCCACTCCCACATCCTCCCTTCCCCAGGGGCTATGGGCTTGGCAGATACACTCACAAGTTTCTTTGCTCTCCTGGAAACTGATACCACCATGCCAGCCCTCTGGTCTCCCAGACATTCTTTACCCAAGTCCCCCGGGGAGTTGAAGGCAGCTCACAGGGGATGCCTTTCACCTGTTCAGCCCCCACTGCTGAGCAGAAGGGCAGCTGTTCCTCCAGGGTGGACAGGTGCTATCTTGAGTGTGTGGGAGGTGCACCTGGCAGGGGAAGGGTTCCTAGGGTGGAAGTGGGGGCTGCACCTTTAGAATTCTGGAAACTGGTGACTCAAAACAATCATAAAAGAGAAAAGCAGGTCATTACTGGCCATGCTGGTTCTCCTGGGGGGCAGCCACCTTCTCTAGGAGCTCTAAGAATCAAGACCTTTTCAGATTTGCAAGGGAGAGGTTGAAAGGGTATGAATCAAGTCTGTAAAAGCATGC